CACAGAACTAGAAAAATACTATCCTAAAATTAATATGGAATAAAAAAAGAAATCCCAAATAGCCAAAGCAATGCTAAGCAAAAAGAACAAGCTGGCGGCATCGTATTACCCAACTATACTAAAGGCTACAGTAACAGAAGAGCATAATGATGGTATAAAAATAGACACATAGAATATGGAACAGAATAAAGAACCCAGAAATAAAGCTGTATACCTAAACCCAACTGATCTCTGACAAGGTTGACAAAAATAAACAATGGGGTAAGAACTCCCTATTCAATAAATGGTGTTGGAATAACTAGCTAACCACATGCAGAAGAATGAAATTAGACCTCTACTTCTTACCGTATCCAAAAATAACTCAAGATGGGTTGAAGACTTAACTGTAAGACCTCAAACTATTACACTTCTTACGATCACCCTATGCAAATAATTTATCATTAAGTCCTAAAAAACAAGTGCAACAAAAATAAATATTGACAAGTGGGACCTAATTAAACTAAAGAGCTTCTGCACAGCAAAAGAAACTATCAAAAGAATAAACAGACAGCCTACAAAATGGGAGAAAATATTCACAAACTATGTATCTGACAAAGGACTATGTTCAGAATCTATAAGGAATTTAAACAAATTTATAAGCAAAAAACAAATAACCACATTAAAAAGTAGGCAAAGAATATGAATATACACTTCTCAAAAGAAGATATACAAGTGGCCAACAAACATGAAAAAATGCTCAACATCACTGATGATTAGATAAACCCAAATCAAAACCACAATGAGATACCATCTCACACCAGTCAGAATGGCTGTTATTAAAAAGCTGAAAAATAACATGTCAGCAAAGTTGCAAAGAAAAGAAATGCTCATACGCTGTTGGTGGGATTGTAAGTTAGTTCAGCCCCTGTGGAAAGCAGTTCGGAGACTTCTCAAAGAACTAAAAACAGAATTGCCATTTGACCCAGTGATACCATTACTGAGAATATACATAAAGGAAAATAAATTGTTCTACAAAAAGACACATGCAGTTGTATCCTTTTCATAGCATTATTCACAATATCAAAGACATGGAATCAACCTAGATGCCTATCAGTAGTGAATTGGATTAAAAAAATGTGGTACATATACACCACAGAATACTATGCAGCTATAAAAAGAATAAAATCATGTCCTTTGCAGCAACATGGATACAGTTGGAAGCTATCATCGTAAAATAATTGACACAAACAGAAAACCAAATACTGCATGTTCTCACTTACAAGTGGGGGCTAAACATTGGGTACACATGGAAGTAAAGATGGGAATAGAAGACACTGAGGACTCTAAAAAGTGGGGAGGGAGGGAGAAAGAGCAACGTCACAGATGAGATACCACATAGACAAAATTCCAAAGATGTAACATTAAAAAAAAAAAAAAAAAAAAAAAAAAAAAAAAAAAAAAAAAAAAAAAAAAAAAAAAAAACTAGGAAGTTGCATCTAGGAAGAGCCTCTCAAATTATAATTGAGATTAGATAAATGTCATTTTTTTTTTTTTTTTTTTTTTTTTTTTTTTTTTTTTTTTTTTTTTTTTTTTTTTTTTTTTTTTTTTTTTTTTCAGGAAACAGTTCATGAATTTGTAAAAAAAAAAAAAAAAAAAAAAAAAAAAAAAATAAAAAAAAAAAAAAGAATAAAAAAAAAAAAAAAAAAAAAAAAAAATAAAGAAAAATAAAAAAAGTTCATTTTAAAGATTTGTTTAAATGTGGGACTACAATGCAGCTATGCAAGGGGAAGATGAACACAAAATTCAAGATAGCTATCACTTCTTGGGAAGGCAAAGCATAAGACATGATAGCACATAGGGTACTTTGAAGGTGTGGCTACTATTTTTTTTCTGGGCACATGAGTTTATATTTTATCTTTATAATTTTTAAACACATATTCACGTGTATATGTCTGTGTGTATATGCATATATCTGTATTCTTCTGAATGTCTGAAACAACTTTATAGGAAATGAAATATCCTGAGACCAGGTGCGGTGGTTCATGCCTGTAATCCCAGCACTTGGGGAGGCCGAGGCAGGCGGATCACCTGAGGTCAGGAGTTTGAGACCAGCCTGACCAACATGGAGAAACCCCGACTCTACTAAAAATACAAAATTAGCCGGGAGTGGTGGTACATGTCTGTAATCCCAGCTACTCGGGAGGCTGAGGCAGGAGATCTCTTGAACCCAAGAGGCGGAGGTTGCAGTGAGCCGAGGTTGCACCACTGCACTCCATCCTGGGCGACAAACGCGAAACTCCATCAAAAAAAAAAAAGAAAGAAATGAAATATCTTATTTAATAAGAACCTTAGTAAATACATTTTTTCATTTATTTCTGAATGAATAAATGTAAATCAGAATTATATGCGTATGTATGTATATTTTATTCATTCATTTCTGAACTAATATATGCCAGACCTTGTTCTAGGGAGTCCATCCTACCTATTCAGAACAACATTTCTCTCATTAAGTCCTCACTTGTTGCGTGGACTTGCTCCATGCCTGCTATGGAGAAGTAACTTATCAGTGATAATTGGTATCATGATCACAAGTCCCTGAAGGGTAAGTAGATTGCCTTAGGCAGCATAGTTAATAAATTGTGAATCCAGGATGGAACCTAGGTCTGATTTCAAAGTCCAGGTCTTTTTTCCAGTAGATTTTATGTCTAAAGCCTTCCACTCTAAGGAACAAAATGTCCTCAAGCACTCTTTGTTAGTTAAGTTGAACTTCTATATTCACAGTCATTAAATGTATCATATTATGGAGAGATAATAAAATAGTATAGGAATGGAAAATACCAGAGTGCATCATACATAATAAGGGTAATTACTATTACATCAATTTTTTTTGTTTTCATATCTGTGTCTATGTGCATAATATAATTCGTACTATGGGTCGTAGTCAAAACATTTGCAGGCCTCTAAAATAGAGAAATCATTCTTTCCTCCTCATCCAACTTTTCCTAATTTTCTCCTAATTGTACTTTTAACAAGACTAAAAAATAGAAAGCCAACGCAGAGTATGGACATCTTTCAGTTGACCTACCAATAATTCCAATTTTTAAAGTCTCCCAAACTGACTTCATTAGCTCTTCCAACATTCCCTGCCTTGCTGAAGGGCCGCATCAGTTCACACATAGAGATGGTATTCTATTTTCCTGTATTGTCTTCCCCAACAGTTGACTTTTTGTGCTGCCACCATCATTGAACCTCTTCTAGTAAAGCCTGTCAAAATAGGTCTCTCAGTCTCCTGTTTTTGTTTCTGTTTATCTTTTAATCATTTTAAATTGCTTCACTTCGCTATAGAAGACTGAACTTTCTGAAGGGCACATTTGATAGTGTTACTCCTCTGCTTACAGCTTTATAAGTTTCCTTATGTTCAAAATGGGGTTCAAACTCCTTGGCAGTACACAGAATCCTTGCCCCACCCTGTTTCTGCCCGCTTTGTAACATTTCCTTCACTCCCTCTCCAACAACAATCGGCCACTGTGGACTGTCTCCAGTTCCCCTAGCGCATCATACCCGCTATCATCTCGACTACTGAGTGCCTGAACTCAACAGTCTCTGACAAGCCCAACCTAGGTTAGGATACTCTACACTTTTCTTTTTCACATCATGTGAAGGGATTTGAATGACATTCTCTTGTTTACTCATCTCTACCATCGTTAACTGGCCTGCAAGCTCCTTGAGGTCATGGATGGAGATTGGTTCGCTCCATCATCCCAACATCTAGCCCAGTTCCAGAAGCATGGTCGATATGGGGATTGATTGAAAAAAAATATATGCAAATAAATTCACAATGAATTCTAAAAAAATTAATTCTGAAAGATTTTGGATCAGGTCATCTGTAACTGGTTATTCAAAACTGATCTCGCATTACGCAGCTTTTGTGAATATGCACCCTTCAATGATAACAGCAGTTCTGAAACAGTTCTCAGAGGTATATAAATAAACAGTGGAATTACACAGTGGTGGGTTGTTTAATCTTTTCCGGAATCATACTGATCCTACCAGTGGATGGAGGACTTTTCCATGGTAACATTCCTCTGAACACAAAAGATCTCTGCACTCTGAAAGCAACCACTTAGGGATGATACTCCTGCCAACTCCAAGTCCTGATTAGCTGGAACCTTGGATGGAAAAGAGTGCCCACAGAACAAGTGATACCTCGTGTTCTATTTATTGATGAGATGAAAAGAAGACACAAACTGTGACTTGTATACCTCTGCATTATAATCATTGCCACAAAAGACCAGTAAACAATACCTGCTCTAAGTAAGAAACTAAATACAACAAATACATTCTTTATTTTTAAATAATGAAACAATAGTAAAGTCAACTGACTCTGAGGTCCCTTCGTCCTCCTCAAAGATTCCGTGCCTCCTACTTACATACAAATTTACAATTTATAAGGGTAAATATTGGATAAGTCTCTAACACTCTTTGAACACCCAGAATTGCTGGGAAACTCAAGCACTAATAGGAGTACAGAGAGGCAGAAAGAGATAAAATGTAAATAGTAATCTATTGCTATAGCTTTTATGCTCCAGCATTAAAAAGATAGAAAAATACAAGGCACAGTGAAGTCTAATCAGTAATTAAGGTATTACAAGTGCCCAGAAACCCATAGACTTAAATATTTTATTTTAGACATATTCAATTTAGATCCTCCGTTTTGGAGAAATTTGGATGCAAACCAGGAATAAAGGTTTTTGTGAAATGGTAAATAGCAGGATTGTTCTGTCCATAATTTCTAAAATTCATCACAATACTTTGGAAATTGTTGGAAGGAATCATTATATAAAAGCTCTATGAAATGGGTTACCCCTTTGTGGGGTTAAAATCCATAAATTCCAAAAATGAAATAAAGTAATTCATTTAACAAATGTGTATAGAGTGCCTACAATGTGCCAGGCAATGTTCTAGAGTTTTGAGATATACAGTGAGCAAACAATGCTCTCAACTCTCTGGAGCTTATATGCTAGTTATTCTAGTGGGGGAGGCAAGACAGTAAGAACACAAAAAATGAGAGTAAAGGATACAGTATAAATCAGAAAGTGATGATACTATGGCAAAAAAAGAAAAAAAAACTAAATAAAAGAATCAGGAGATGAGAGTAGGGAGATAGCCTGCTATTTTGAATACACTGGTTGAGAAGGTGCCATGGAAAACAAGAGTTAAGTGAAAATTGAACAGAGGTAAGGAAATTAGCTATGAAGATATCTGGAAAGAAGTCTTCTGAGCAAAGTAAACAGTTAGTGAATTCTCAGTTTGTTGCAGGAACAAGAGAGAGGCTAGAATGACCAGCATGGTAGTTATTTTATTGGTTAAGCTAATGAAATGGAATCTTAGTGCTTTATCAAAACAGAAACTGTTTTTTTGCTCACATAAAGTCCAGTAGGAGAAGAGGCAGTAACTCTGCTTCACTCAAAAGCCCAGGCTGATGGTGGTTCTGTTATTGTCAACATGTGACTTTCAAGGTCACTCTAGACATTGATATCCAGCAGGTAGTAGAAAAGAATATGAAAGATTTCAAGAGGTTTTAATAGGCCAGGGTTGGGGTGGCTAACTGTCCTTGTTTTCTCAGCATTGAGGGGTTCTCACAGGATGTGGGGCTTTCAGTGTTAAAACCAGGACAGTCCTGAGCAAACCAGAATGGTTGGCGACTGTAGGCTGGGCCTAGAAGTGTATCGTGATGAGCCACATGCCATGGCCAGAAGTCAGTTACACAACCTCACATGATACAAAGGGGCTTAGAAACTGCAACCTAACTGAGTACCAGAACAGAGGAAACAAAGTCAGATGAGAATGGGGAACAGATTGCAAGGGATGGGCCACTGGAAGGACCTTGTGTTTTATTCTGAGAAGGGAAGAAATGACGAGGAAAGGATTAATGTCTTAGTTATTGTACTTTTTTATTTGATAATACACATATCATTTTTTAAATACTAGGCACTCATAAGAATTCACAAATATTTAAGTAATTTAATCCTCTTAACAACCTTACACAGTAAATACCCCTATTACTCCCATTTTACAGAGGAGGAAACTGAGGCACAGAGAGGCTTGCTAACTTGCCCTAAACTGTTGAACTGTAGGTGATGAAGCTGGCATTCATTCCAGGTAGTCTGAATAAAGCCTGCGTGCTTTTAATCACCGCAATATTCACCACCAATATAATTTCCATTGTTTTTCAGGATCCTCAGGAATGGAAGCAATAAATGTGACTTGTCTATTATTGGCCCATTACATCCAAGAGCAGCCTTTCCTCTCCTGTATGTGGTTCTGTCATTCCCCAAGGTGGGCCCACCCTCCCCATTAATATCTCTTCTCCAGGGGATTGGTGGCCAGAAGCAAGAACCACGGTGTACAACTTGTGGTGGATGAAGCAACAGAGAAGGAAGAGGAATAAGATACTTTTACAACAATCTCAAAGGCCTCTGCCCACTACTGACTCCCAATATCTTTTTTATTTTTTTCTCCTTATTTCATGTCAGATTAAGTTCTTTTCTCTACGTATACATTTAGAGGGTACAAGTGCAATTTTGTTACATGGATATATTGTCTACTGGTGAAGTCTAGGCTTTTAGTGTAGCTATCACCCAAATACAAATTACATTGAACCCATTAAGTAATTTTTACCCTTCACCCTACTTCTACCCCTCTGAGTCTCCAGTCATGATTATTCCATACTCTATGTCCATGTGTACATGTTATTTAGCTCCCACTTACAAGTGAGAACATGTGGTATTTGACTTTCTGTTTCTGAGTTACTTCATTTAAAATAATGGCCTCTAGTTCTATCCATGTCGCTGCAAAATACATGGTTTCATTCTTTTGGTGGCTGAGTAGTATTACGCACACATACGCCCACACCACATTTTCTTTAAATTTTCTTGCCTAACAATATGGAACTTTTGCATTAAATTCATATACATGTTGCTTTATTATAATTTACTTAAATATAATTTCATAATTTAGGCTCATGCTTTCATGAATGTTTTAAATAATGGTGTCTAAATGTTGGAAAATCCTGCCATCTGCTAGCATATACTATCAGTTTGAAAACAAGGTAAAGTAAGCTCTGTGAATATGTTGAGTAAACATTCATTCTCTCTCACAACCAAAAAGTGTTAAAGACATCAAAAGATAAATATGATACATAGTACATTTCCTAAATAACCTTTAAAAAATGAGATGCTCTGGAAAAAATCATGGTGATAGCAGTGTTAAATACCAGCAGATGGAAAAAAAATATTTAAAAAACAAACCAGACTAGGGCGAGACAGTCAGAAAAACTCAATATGAGCAACAAAATAAAAAAGCATACTAATCTTGGAATTAGGAACTGGGTAAGAAATAGATCTCCTTGGGAGCTGATTACAGAATGATTACCAAGGTCAGATTACACTTCCTATCAAGTCTCCATCAGGTAAATTGATGGGTTTCAGTTGATCTCTGCAAAAACAAACAAACAAACAAGAAAAGACAAAAACAAAACTCATTTAGCAATTTTTGTCATTAGATAAAACAAGATGTATTTATATATGGAGAATGAAGCAGGTTCATTGCTCACATAATTTTTAAGAATAAAATAATGGGAATTCACCTCTTGTAAGCTTGAATATTATAAATATTTCTAGTAGGAGTGTGGAATTGCTAAAACTTCCTTCTGAGGACTGAACTGAGTATTTAATTACTTGGATACATTGGCAGCAGTGCAAGGATATAATTAGTGTGCTTTTATTTCATTTATAAATTAAGAGGAAGATGCCTTTCCAAACCTGATTAGTGAGTTATGGACTGGGCTTCAGGGCAGACAGTAAATCTAATGAATATAAGAATATACTTCCTTTTATCAGTGCATTATTACCAGAAAATAAAGGAATTAAGAGAAATTCATGGAGCTTATAACATTAATGAACTTCATGTAAAATGAAATTTATTGGTAGCTTTTAGTAACCAGGTACAAACAGATTTGAAACAGGAGTTAAGCAGTGCAGACGCAATTTTCTTATTTCAGACTCATATTCTGGGGAAAAACATGTTTACATAAATCTCAAAATTCTTAGTCTCTAAAATAAGAGTATGTCAGATGATGTATTGAGGTTGAAAAAAATGATTAAAAGTTATATTTGTATGTATTTAAAACTTATTAAATTATATATTATATTGTATTACACTGCTATCTATATATACATATATATTCTATATATATTATATTGCATAGTTTATATGATTTATCAGTGTTGAAATACTTGTATATAATTTATAAATAACCAAATATACATATATTTGGATTAAGTTCTCAGTTTTTAAAAATGTATAAGGCATATAATTTAAAAAATGAGGACTTACTGAATGTCACATGATACTTTTCTTATTTTTTTATACATTGGTATCTTTAGCTACTTTGATGTGAGAATGAAATAAGTAAATTATCCCCAAAGGGGCAAGAGAGTAACAGCTAGAGGAGAAATATTCCTGCTCCATACAATGATACAAAACAGTTTTTGTGCATTAGCAGCAAGTGGTCCAGCTGCCCCATTGCACACCCTTAGCTTACCTCTGATTTCAGTGGCAACTATGGGCACAGTTCAGCGGGAGCTCAGACTCACAGTGACAGTTGCCACTTCCAACCTGGCCTCAGTCTTTACTACTTTCTGCCCCTCGGTCTTCCCCAAACCACGTTTCACTTAAAAAAAAAAATAATCAAGGAAGGGACAATTAAATGTCATTGTCTATGTACATTTGTTTTATTAGGGAATGGATGTTGGCAATGATTAGGTATTTCTGGTTTAACAATATGGGAATGAATAATTTATTTTTATTTTATGCTATTATTTTTAGAGACAAGGTTTTACTCTGTTGCCAAGACTGAAGTGCAGTGATGTGATAATAGCTCACTGCATCCTTGAACTCCTGGGCTCAATCCTCCTATCTCAGCCTCCCAAATAGCCGGGACTACAGTGGCATGCCACCATGACCAGCTATTTTTTTTAAATATGTAGAGATAGGCACATGAAAAAATGCTCATCATCACTGGCCATCAGAGAAATGCAAATCAAAACCACAATGAGATACCATCTCACACCAGTTAGATTGGCAATCATTAAAAGGTCAGGAAACAATAGGTGCTGGAGAGGATGTGGAGAAACAGGAACACTTCTACACTGTTGGTGAGACTGTAAACTAGTTCAACCACTGTGGAGGACAGTGTGGTGATTCCTCAAGGATCTAGAACTAAAATACCATTTGACCCAGCCAAACCCTTACTCCTACTGGGTACATAGCCAAAGGATTATAAATCATGCTGCTATAGAGACACATGCACACAAATGTTTATTGTGGCACTATTCACAATAGCAAAGACTTGGAACCAACCCAAATGCCCATCAATGATAGACTGGATTAAGAAAATGTGGCATGTATAAATATATACCATGGAATACTATGCAGCCATAAAAAAGGATGAGTTCATGTCCTTTGTAGGGACATGGATGCAGCTGGAAACCATAATTCTCAGCAAATTATCACAAGGACAGAAAACCAAACACCACACGTTCTCACTCAGAGGTGGGAACTGAACAATGAGAACACTTGGACACAGGAAGGGGAACATCACACACCAGGGCCTGTCATTGGGTGGGGGAGGGGGGAGGAATAGCATTAGGAGAAATACCTAATGTAAAGGACGAGTTAATGGGTGCAGCACACCAACATGGCACATGTATACATATGTAACAAACCTGCATGTTGTGCACATGTACCCTAGACCTTAAAGTATAATCATAATAAAAAAAAGAAAAAAGTTGAGTAAAGGCTTATTAGTCCACAGCACTTCCCTGAAACCTGAAGAAGACATAGGAGAAGGCTCTTGGTAGGAAAGAGAGAAGGTTAGAATGTGAGTGAGAATAAAAAAAAAATGTAGAGACAGAGTCTCACTATTTTGCCTAGGCGGGTCTCACTATTTTGCCTAGACCGGTCTCAAACTCCTGGCCTCAAGCCATCCTCTGCTTCCCAAAGTGCTGGGATTACAGTCGTGAGTCACTTGCCTAAGTTGGTATGAATTATTTAAATAATAAGTAAACATAAACTGCAGGTTCCAAATATTGTTTATGTGAGCACACAGCACTCTTTTTTCAGGATTAACCAGGTACTTTCAAACTAAACTTTTAGTCAATAAGATAACTTGTGAGTGTTTTTGTAAGTAAAATGTTGGAATAGCTGTGAGTGGAAAACATGGTCAATTTAAGACATCACCAATAATGCGTTTGGAATGAATGGTTCTTCCAGAAAATGAATCAGTTGCAAAATCCAACTAGCTGATTGTGCATGTGCCCAGTGTAGCTCTTCAACATTGCTCAGCTTTGTATGGGAGCCATACTGAACTTTAAGGATGTGCTCATCTTACATAACATAATAGACTCCTTGAAAATGATTTAATTATGTGTGAAAATGAACATCCATAGAAATATATATGATCTTACTGATACAAACTAAAGAAAGGATTTGCATTTTGCATCAAATCTCAGCCTGTTCCAGAGAACCTAGCAGCAGTAGGCCACTGACTATACCTTTACAATCACCAAGGTTGGCGTTTCTAAAAGAGTAAAGAGTAACATCTCTATACTCTACTGGCTATGGAGGCTTTATAGCCTTACTCGCAGAAGAAATGATGTTGGTTGAGCCTTTCTGTCTTATTTGCTCTTGTTTTTCATTTTCTATGCTTATATTTTAATCTTTCTTTCATCTTTGGCTTTTTGCATTTGCACACTGCTGAGTGGGAGACAGTACCCTCTAATCTATTTTGGAAAAACAAGGCTCCTCTTTTTATCTTTAGTAAGCTGTACTTGAGCTGTCTTCATCTGTGCCCGGCTTACTTTCCAAGTGCTCCTCTATCTTCTGGATTGAGCTCACTGTGCTTCTGTTTAGTGATACATTTGGGGTTTCACATAATACTCAGGCCTGCTAGTCTTTAAGGGATCCACCAAGAGCAGCACAGCTGTAGAATCATGATCTCACCCAGAGCACCTTTTTTGTACTTGTCAGCCAACTTGGCCATCCCTACCATTTTGATCTCAAAGCCAATTTCCAGTTGGTTCTAAACAAAGTTCTCAGTTCTTTGGTCCTATTCAACCAATGTAAGATTTTCATGTAGAGGGGAAAAATTATGCTTTAAAAATACAAAATTTATAAAGAATTTCATTTTAACAGTTTCATTTATTATTAATAGTAGTAACAGTATTTTTTCCAAATTACTATTTATGAAAATCTTTAAATGTGTTTTCTCATTTAAATTAACACAAGTAATCTTATGAGATACATTTTTTTTTGCATTTTACAAATGCAGAGTGTCATAATTACTTTTAGCAATTCTTAAGTTGAATTACATTTTCCATGGATCACACAAGACACTACTTCAATCTGCTTGTATATTTTGGTATTCTAACCTACATCTCCATTTCAAAAAGCAAACATTATAAGTCTATGAATTGTAGATGGTGGGAGATAGGTTTCTCACTATGGAAGAGAGAGTTATACATAAGTAAGAAGGGAAAAATAGAATGAACCTCATATTACTGGATTAGAACCAGAGACAACAGTATGAACTAATATTTATCTTAATATTTCTACAAATGAATAGATATAGAAGTAATTATAAAGGTGTGAGTATGCATAGGTCATATGTATGCATAATCTAGTAGTTCTGCCAGCTCAGAGAACCTAGAAGCAGTAACTCCCAGTAGCAATGAGCATTCCAGTGCTCAGGTCTTGGTTTCTAAAAAGAATTCTCCAGTAAAAGGAACCAGGGTTCCTTGGAGAAGTCACTAATTCTAGGACTAGGACAGGGAAAGTACAAGATGACCCTGGAGCATCCTGTAGCACCAGAAAGTAAGGAAGTGCTCAAAAAACAACAGCATGGAGCATGTCAAAGGGGCACAAGAGCCATCCTCAAAGAGCTCCCAATATCTAAAGCAGAAATAATTCAGGTGAAAAAGAAACAAATGACGCATTACCCAAAGAATAAAATAAATATGAATCCATAATACTTTTTAAATGATTGAATAAATAAATACATTGTAGAGAAAGGATACATTTTCCTTAAAGAATAATTATTAAAACTATAGGTAGGTACTCTCTCCTTTTCCAGGAGGTAGAACTTAATCTCTCCCCAGCTTGAGTATGGACTGGATTTAGTGAACTGGCTTCAGAAGAATAGAGTATGAAATGGAAATAGTAGTAATTTCACAGTGTAGAAATCTGGCAAACACTGTCTTAACCAAGTAATCAAAGTTAGTATCACTATGTTTTATCATGTTGATATCAAATACCTCTTCAGATACTTCAAATACTTCCGGACATAACAGAATGAGGACACCTCACCTCTGATATTCTTTCTAAAAGCCCATAACCTTAGTTTAATCATAACAAAACACACCAGACAAACCCAAATTGAGAGACGTTCTACAAAATACCTGAGCAGTACTCCTCAAAGCTATCAAGGTCATAAAAACAAAGTGACTGAGAAACTGTCCCAGAACAGAGGAGACTAAGGAGACATAAGAACTGAATGCCATGCAGTGCCCTGGATTGGACCTGGGGAAAGAAAAAGGACATTGATGGGAAAACTAATGAAACCAAAATAAAGTTTGGAGTTTAATTAATAGCAATGTATCATCACTGGTTCCTCAGTTTTGGCAAATACAGCATGGTAATGTAAAGTGCTGACATTAGGGGAACCTGAGTGAGGAGTATGAGGAAAGTGTCTCAATTACCTTTGCATTTTTTCTGTAAAAAATATTCTAAAATAATTTTATCTTAAAAAAAAACAAAGTGGAGAATTAGCATAATCATTTCTGTCAAATATCCATTTTCCACTAGCAACAGTGATAAGGTCTTCAAAGTTTGCCATGATACCTGAAGGTATTACTTTCAAGTAAGATGATGAAAGTTAACCCATTTCAAACCAAATGATTTTAGAATATCTAGTATATTAAAAAAATGCTAGAATCTCTATTTCCATTTTAATTATAGTTCTTTTTTTTCCTTAACAGAAGCTTTTGAGCAGCAGAATAGTCATGGGAAAAGTGCTCTCAATATGTATATGTTCTTAATTTTCTGAGCTCTAAATGATGCTACAACCTGGTATTTAGTGGTTGCTATTGAGGAGAAATATTTGCAAACCCATCTCTCCCCATAAGGTTCTCAAAGGAATATATTTTTCAGAAATTATTAAAGCAAGTGAAAATTTTGAGTGTCCTATCCTTACCAGAGGGGGTCTGTCTCATTGCTATAGTGGGGAGCATTCTGATGACCTGAGCCAGGACAAGTGGTTTAGGCTCATGGCCCAGGGGGAGTTTCTTCTCCTTTCCAAGGCCAAGACCAAATCTCCTCCCAGGTTCCAAAAACTGAAGTAATAAAACCATTCAAGTGTGTGATATTTGTGCATTTATGTTTTGTACCCAGAGCATCCCAAGTTTAACAAGTATGAATCTCTCCTGACTTTGGGCAGTGAGTGGGTGCCTTGTAGTGGGTGGCAATAGTTTCACAGCACCTTGCTTGTGCAGAAACATTTTATCTAGTCTCTGTGAGAAGGGAAGGTACTGGGGGTATTGTGAAAGCTGACTCTGTAACCATATCAGAGCAAGTGTGAAGAAGGGATGTTGTAACTGGTTAGTTTTTTACTTTTTCCCTATCCCAAATATAAAAGATGTGTTTTTATGTACTTTCTCAACATTAAGGTATTGGCTCATATGCTGATATACTGACATTTTCATGCTTTTATTAATTAGCAATTAATGTCAAAAGTGAGGAGCAGGCATTTGCAAAGAGGCCAATTAAAGACTACATCATTGTCAAAATGTCTGAAAGCCAGAAACCCAGCAGGCAAGAGAATCATGGCAGGTAATGCCCCACTGAGCTATTGTTCTTGTTCAGATCCTCTACAGTATGAACACTTGTCAAGCTGCCTTGAAAATACTTTCTCCTGGGTCGATACTGGTGGAAGTAATACAATCTTAGTCAGGTTCATGAGGAAAAAAATTGAAAAGCAATGCATTCAACATATATGCCTGTATTTCAGTTTCTAGCAATGCTGAAGAAGTTTCTCTCATAATCAAAAAAAAAATCCACCAAGTAGACACTTAGAATAATCTAAATAAATGAGATACTTATAAATCTATTCCACATTTTTATGATGTAACCTGTTTCATCAAGAAAGCCACAAGTTTGATTTTACATTTTGGGATCTGAGAGACCTAAAGCTACATTTCCTGTCTACTACTTAATAGTTGTGTGACCTGGGAAAATTTATATTCCTTTGTTTTAACTACTTTGAATTTGAGTTTTCCTCTTCATAACATTGAGACAGCAACACATATCACCTTGTGTCACTGTGGTGACTTGATGTTAGGTTGGATTTTTTTAAAAAAAATTATTTATTTATTTGAAATGGAGTCTCACTCACTCTGTGGTCCAGGCTGGAGTGCAGTGGCTCCATCTCTGCTCACTGCAACCTCTGCCTCCTGGGTTCAAGTGATTCTTTTGCCTCAGCCTCCCTCAGCCTCCCAAGTAGCTGAAACTACAGGTGCCGGCCACCACATCTGGCTAATTTTTGTATTTTTATTAGAGATGGCGTTTCGCCATGTTGGCCAGGTTGGTCTCGAACTTCTCCTCTCAAGTCATCTGCCCACCTTGGCCTCCCAAAGTGCTGGGATCACAAGCTTGAGCCACTGCACTTGGCCAGGCTGGATATCTTAAGGCATTTTTCTCCTTGCACTTTTTCTTACCTTTTCTTCTTTCTTCCTTCTGCCGTTTCCAAGTGGCTGGCTCCCTTGACTTACTTCTGTCAGGGGTTGGGGAAGGTGTGAAGCAAAAGTAGCCTGGAACTCTATCTGGATTCATCCTTCCAAAAGCAAAACTCATAGGAGAATGTACAGGCTGTGCATAGGGAGGAGAAGGAAGAAAGGAATAGATAAGAAAAGAACCTGGAAAACTTGGCAGGATAAGGATTTCCCTCAGTTTACACAAATAAACCTGTGATTGCCAGAGGGGCAGACAGAGGTCTATGAATTCTGAAAGCAGGAGGTATTCATGCAACTTTCTGGCTGCATCCAGAGAGAAAGCAAAAATCCAGAGGGGGGAGTGCCTACATGGTGAGTACAAGCTAAGGAGACCACAGAAAACTTCACAATGGCACCTGTGTCCCATGTATGGCCTGGGAGCAGCTGAGCACTATGGGACTTGAGAAGCCCTACAGGTAGGGAGGATGTGAAATTCAGTGGGACCTGTGAGGATACATTATCAGCGCACAACAGTCCTCCTACTCTGTTTTTTTGTATGATCCTAGGCAGTAGTACAACTCTGGGGTTGGTGAGGAGACTGTGAGGTCTGGTGAGGAGTGAGTGACTGACACTAAGGTTCCTGCCAGCCAGGGATGGGCATTAAAACAAAATTTACATTGATTGATTAAAAATAAAGATATATTTCTTGCATTCTTGACTATGTGGAATGAGACTCATACCATATGTAAAATAGTGCTATCTCAAGTTTGGAGAAGATGCTCAGTTAATATTAGTTGTCATTATTTATCAATTAGCATTCAGTTAATATTAGCTGTCATTATTTATCAATTAGCATTAATAACTCTAAGAAGGATAATGTAAAAACACACAAACACACAAAATAATTTTCTTATATCTTCTTAACTCCCAATAAAAGACTCTATTCCATGGGAACCAAGTGTGAATATGCTGTACGTATTTTCTTTGAACTCACAGTGGGAACTCATTTTTCATTGTAATATTTAGCTGATTGTCAGAATGGCTGAGATATGATTTAATGTCCTGGGGGAGGCAGAAGAGGATCAGTAGACAAATATGACTGTATAATTTGGATTTAAAAGACTTACTCTTATTTAACTGAATAATAACAAGGCCTTACATTCATCCAAGGGCTCTCTGACGGTTTAGGTTCTGCTCTTGGTATTTAACTCTGTTGACAGTAGTGGTGGGACTCTTAAATGGGTAAATTGCACCATTTTGTGGAGATGATGATTTTGACTAGTTTGGTGAATGTAGTATTGAATTGAGATTCAAAACCAAGGAATTTGAGTCTTGGTTGTGAACTTTGAGCTCTGTTACCTAGGATGAGCACAGGAATTAGAGCTGGAGAGGAACACTGGAGATGCCTTGAGTTTCCAGCAATGGCTGTTATGCATTTTAACCTATTTTTCTTGACCTTCTTCATGAATAGATTCCTGTCTGGCATTTACCCTTTCAATCTTCAGAAGTCTTTGAGTTCAGAGATCTGTCTGGAAAGAGTATATTATGTTACTAAAATAACAGTAGCTTTTCATCCAGGCAAGGAAGGCAATGATCATTTTTCTATTCGAATTCTTCTAACATTTGCCTGGTTCTATTATTCTGAGCTAAGAATTCTGTCTTTCATGCTAAGCGTGGAAAGTATGGGCAAAAGGGTTAAAGAGGTAGAGGTCATATTTGACCTTTCTCCAGCAATTATGCCTTGTGCCCAGTCCCAACCTCCAGGGGTCCAGGGGATTCAGGATGACTTTGGTTGTTCATCTGAGTCCTTCAATACAGGGTTCCACTGTATGCCTTGGTGATCATATATTTGGTTTACCTGGAACAGTCTCACTCTGCTTGTAAAATTTTCCCTGCACTACCTTCTAATTGTAATGTATCTTTTGCTGTCCAAGATGGCAATTTTACTAATCTGATCAATCAGTTCATCATTATTGCTGCTGATGATAAATACTCATGTCATTGATTATAAACATCCTGCCTTCATAATAGATGAATTTGGCTCTCTTAGGTTGTCCGTAGCATATCAAGTCTGCAGATAATGCTGCCTCTCTATGGTTCTTAACTGGCAGTTATACCTAAGGAAAGTGTGAAAACGTGGGGCAGTATTTTTGGCTATCCCAGTGAGGGGGAGATGTGCTACTGGTCGTTAATACCCCAGAGTCCAAGGTTTCTAAATGTTCTGATAACAATGCCGCATGAAGAAGTACTGGAATGTCTAATCCAAAGAGTGGCTCTGATAAGAACACCTCAAGTCATGTAGGATGGAATGGGATTGATGGACAAGCCAGGAGGTAAGATAAGATGGAAACTTATGGAAAAGCCAATGAGTTTCTCTCATCTTCCTTGAATGACCATAAAATTTCAGCCCAAACCTAGGAAAGTGAAGGCAAACCTTTTACCTCTAAGTCACAGACATGAGGGGGAATCACTTTCTCTTGGTTCCCCTCAATCTAACAAAAATCTTAACTTTTTGAGGTCACCCTGTGAAGCAGACTGCTTGAAACCAACAAGGACACTGAAAACTTTTAAAGATTTTCTGAATTCCACTTGACAAATTCATTAGCCTAGAAGTGGAAGAAATCTAAATGATAGAGTATAGTGGTTAAAGGCACAGGTTTTTGAGTGAGCCACGAGGGTTCAAATTCCAGCTCCACCATTTACTATGTGATCCTGTTCAATCCACTTAAATTCTGAGCCTATCTTCCCACATATAAAACAGACAGTGAAAAAGACAAATAGTGCTTTTGTATTATTTTTAAAAATAGGTTTGAACTTGCAAGCCCCCTGATAAGATCCCAAAGACCCCCAGGGATCCCTGACTACATGAACTAAGCCATAAGATTGTGAGAACTCCTTACTAAGCCATAAGATTGTGATTAAGGATTAAATGAAGATAACAGATGATAAGGATTTGCATGCCTGTGCATAATAGAATTTCAGTAAAATGTTAACTATTCAATTTAGTTACAGTTAGTCACAAAGACTCTTAAAATGCTGAAGTAAAACTGTACCCTAATGATACTGGACATGATGAGCTATGGCTCAGAAATTTACAAGCATGTCAGGTCAATGATGTTTCTCCTGTATTTCCTGCTGTGACATGGCCTGCAAAATATACAAATGTTGAATTTTCAAGACTATCATTTCATCTCTTTGGTATTCTTTGATTTTCGTATTTGATGAGTTAACATTTATTTTTCATTTCAAGCATAATTTATACCCATTGTAAAAAGTTTGGAAATTGGAAATGCAAAAAGAATACCACATTCAAGAAAGAGACCACAGTGAACATTCTGATGTATTTTTGCCTAGTCTATTCTTTGTATGCAAGCTCATGGACCTTAACAGGATTGCTTATAAAGTACAAAAGTAAATTTTGTTTGCACAGTTAATTTATGTATTTGAATTAGCAAGGTTTTCAAACTAAGCATGTATTTGAATTTATCACAGTTTTAATCAATAGTTCTATTCCTGATTTCAAAACTTGTCAGAATGGCTTGGGTTTTTCATGTCTTGCTTGGTTCATCAGGAAGATGGAGTACTTTGCCTTTGGTCCCACGTGTGGACCCAAGTTGCTTCTATGGACTCAAGGAGATATTAGCAGCCATGGAATGCAAGGTGATGAAACTGCCTCCAGTGAAACCTGACATAAAGGTCATTAAATTATTACAATAGATTAATTATAGAAATTCACAACAAAAATTTGTTTAGGCTTCCACATATTTAACAATATTCTCCTAAATAATTAACAATAGTTTTTATTGTTTAAAGCTTCTAAATATATACAGTTGACTCTTGAATAATATGAGGGTTAGGGGCACTTACCACCACACAGTCAAAAATCTGTGTATAACTTTTTTCACCCCCAAAATTCACTACTATAGCCTATCATTGACTTGAAGCCTTATTAATAACATAAACAGTTGATAAACATATATTTTGTATGTTATATGTATATATATTGTTTTTTATAATCAAGCAAGAAAAAAAAGAAAATGTTATTAAGAAAATCTTAAGGAAGAGAAAATATATTTACTATTCATTTATAACATAAACAGTAAATTAATACATATTTTGTATGTTATATGCATTCTTTACTGTATTTTTTTAGGGCTCTTTATCTTTCACAGGGGAAAACTTGTCAGGAAGTGATTTGACTGTGTGTTGCCCCAAGAGACATACTGAGATCACTACCCATTGTTAAGGCTCTCAGACTGGTTTGAGTACCTACATTGGAGCTACTGAGAGTTAGTGACCTACTCTCAATCCCCCAGCTCAGGCAGAAGCCGGAAGACTGCTTACTTGTTAGGAGTGTTTTGAGAGACGGGAGGCTGAATCATCTACAGTTTTATCCAATTTAAAAATAACCAGAAAATCTGGTTGTGGTGGTGCACACCTATAGCCCAGTCACTTGGTAGGCTGAGGAGAGAGGATTGCTTGAGCCCAAGAGTTCGAGTCCAGCCTGGACAACATAGCAAGGCCTTGTCTAGTTTTTTAAAAAAAATGGCAAGAAGGAAAGAGCTCAACCTATTGGGGGGAAAAAAAGGGAAGGCAATTCTTAGAACCAAATTCTAAATGCAACTTAGTATAGCCAGCAAGCAGGGGAAGCATAGAGCCATTTGTTCAACTTCCAGAAAGAGTTACTCCCTCTATTCACCTCTTTAAAAAATCTTGAAGGGATACCAAGTGTAACACAAGGAAGTTAAGTCATTGCACGAAATATTCTGTCTATTTCCTTTTCTGGTGTGGGCCACTTAGAGGAAGCAGCTACTATCAATGATGTCAATGATGTGCTGTATTCTTAAAATAAAGTAGGCGCAATAAGAAAGACAATGCTACTAAGAACATAATAAGGAAAAGATATTTACTATTTGTTAAGTGGAAGTGGATAATCATAAGGGTCTTCATCTTCATGTTCACATTGAGTAGGCTGAGGAGGAGGAGGAAGAGGAGAGATTGATCTTGCTGTTTTGGGGGCAGTATATAAGTAGTAGTCCCACACAGTCCAACCTGTGTGGTTCACAGTTCATCTGTATACCTTTGTAGCAAGCTATTTTTTACAGTTAATGTTTACTACAGATTCAGGGACTCGGTCGTACAGGCCTTGCAGGCTGTTCTAAGAGGTTTGAAAATTATTCTATGTGGGATGAAGAGGCACCGATGGGTTTTAAGGCAGAGAGTTATAGAATCTAGTATTTTACCAAACAATCTGGGTAGAGTATGGATTACAGAGGAACAGAAATAGAGCACAGAGATCAAGGCTGCTGTTGATTTAGTGCATGTGTGTTGATGTAGCTTGGGTATGGTGGAGCCAGCAGATATGCAGAGAAGTGGATGGAGTTGAGCTGTGCTTTGAAGATAGAACAGACAAGACATAGTAATAGATTGCTGGTGGTATACGAAGGAGTGAGAGAAGCAAGAATAGGTCTTAAGTTTCCAGTTTATGCAACTGATGAATGGAGACATCATTTATAGGATGGAAAATATAGAAGGAGAAATATATTGCAAGGAAAGGTCAGGATTTCAGTTTTGGACATGCTATTCTCACTACCTTGATTCTCACTATCTTGATATCCCATCTCCTCATGGATGCGGCCCTACATCGGGCACATGCCCTAGTTAGTGCTGGTAGGAAACATGTTTCCAGGTAGCTGAACGCGAATGAATTCACAGTGTGGTATCTATGTCTGGTGGCCAGTAAAATGCTGGAAGACATTTACCGTATTGAGATTATTTCTGTTTTAAATGGAGAGGCATAGTTTAAGAAAATTTATTGGTTCACGCATCTGAAAAGTTCAGGAGTGCTTCAGGCACAGCTGTATATGCAAGTGTCCAAATGGTGTACTCTCTCTCTGTTTCTCTCTCTGTTTCTCTCTCTCTCTCTCTCTCTCTCTCTCTGTCTGTCTGTCTCTTGTCTCCCTTCCTGTCTCCACCTCTTTTTCTTCTGTATTGCTTCATTCTCAGGTTCTTTCTGCCTGATAAGATGACTGTTAGCTTCAGGTTCACACAGACCTCATAGCTCCCAATCTCCCATATCTCCTGAAATATACAAGCCTCTGCCCTCGGGCCCACGTGTCCTGTGCCAATCATGTCTAATTACTATAGGAATGGAGGAGTTCTTCTAACAGCCTGGATCACATGTTCAATCCTGGGCAGGGCAGGGCTGCCTCTACTAGAACCACAAGAAATATGCTCTGCAAAGAAGAAAGTGGTTGTGTTCCTAACAGAGGGAGGACTATCAGGCTGGCTAAAACCTAGTCAATGGAAAGAAATGATGACTTTGTTTTCAAAATTGTTTTCTACATTTCTTCTCTTTGGCAGGAATTGCATTGCCAGACTAATTGTCTATTAAAGCTAGATAATGACACATCTTTACCTTCTGTATGTACAAGAATGTTTACATTTCTATTTGTAGAAGGCATGCATCCACACCATTCAGAGGTGGTATCTTGTAGTCAAGCTACAAATGCAAAGGAATTGTGGAAACAAATTCAAAAAATAATAATAATCTGGAGGGGAAGTGGGAGGTAGATTGAAGAATATAGATGAAATAAGAAGGTAGAAATAATTAGTGGAGCTGGGTTATGAATAAATAATGGTTTTTCTATACTGTCCCTTTTTATTTGTATATGTTTGAGTTTTTCCTTAATAAAGGGTAAAAAAAATTAAATGGTAGGGATTGTTGGTGAATAATAGGCAGAATACATCAGTTTTTTAATGACAACTGGAAATTATTGTTTCCTGTTTCAAGTCATTCTTCCTAAACTCCTGAAATAGCATTATGCCACAGGCTTGGGAATCTGCACTAAAAATCATAGCCCATAATTAACTGATTACCTGGGTCAAAGGCCAGGAAAAGTTTAAAAAAAAAAAAAAAGAAAACTGCAAATAACCTTAGAATATTCTCAGTAGGTTTCTCTATAACGTGTTAATGTACATGTAAGTTGCCATAATGGAAATGTCATATGTTAGACCTATCTGCTCTTTGTCTAGAATTTTGACCCACTGAGTCCAGGATTACAGTCTTTTAAAAAGGAGACAAAAATTTCAAATGGAATGTGTTAAGATATTAGGTTTAATATCTTGAGAGCACTAAAAATTCCTTTTTTAAAATTGGATAGCCTGTACTGTGAGTTCCAACCATGGAGTTGAAAAGAGAGAGTAAAAAAGAAGAAAAGAAAAATCAAAGACCAACATCTACTCATCCACTGCAGTCCCTGTGCAGTCCTGAAGGTGACAGAATTTTCCACAGACACTTTATTTAGCTTAAGCCTTTTAATCCTCTCTAGCATATGAGTGAACAATACCAACATCTAGTAAGGAATTCTATAAAGTTCATAGCTCTTGACCTTGGTTTATAGAGTTAAGTAAATAAATTTACTAGGAGCTAAGCAAGAATAACCTAAGTCTCTCTCTGATATTACTCACCTTCATACCTTACATATCTACATTTTTGTATTATATCTAGTGATCACACTTAGGTCCTCTGGGATGAGTTTATTGTTTTTATTTCACTGAAAATGACTGAAGACACAAGAGTTTTAACATATTTTGGTTTTTAATAAGGCTACAGTCAGTTTATTTCCATTTTTACTTAATATGTCACCTCACTAACTTGGCTATGGTATATAAGTGTTGTCAGGGTGTATAGGCTAAAATAGCAACACACTCACATGGTAAAATAGTGTCTAGCTTGTTACAAACATGCTATCTACTTTATTTGAATGATTTTCCCTCAATGAATGTTTCTGTTAATCTGACTTCGTCTGTATAAAAATATTATGAAAAAGGGAGTATGAAGTATGATTTATTTCACCTGTCCCCTTGCTTGTATGAACTTAAGGAAAAGGAAAGTCAGAAAATGTCCTCTGAGGGTAAAGTGTTGGCCAGATGGCTGACCTCTATAGTCATTCTTAGTTCTGCCATATTGATTGGAAACACCACCTTAGAGAAAAAGGATCTAAGGCTTTTGTCATTACTATCTTATTTCCTTTGTCCTTTGTTTTTGCTTGGTAATTGATATGGTTGGTATACCAAGAGGAACTTTTGAGCGCCGGGCACAGATTTTCACATCCAAAAATAAACAAATAAAGAGATTCCAGCCAATTCAACTGAGTGCAGAAGCTCACTACAGTCAAGTGGGATTTAGCCACACAATGGATATGTGTTAAGTTGATAAATGTGTCCTTGCACTGATGCATTTGCTTCTGTGCTACATTTGGCACTAAATACAAACCCTTTCCAACTCAGTAATTTCAATTCCTTCCATTAAACTCTACATGTTCATCTCTTTTGTTTTTCTGACCATCTGTCATCAGAGTTACCATAAAATTTGAAAATATCTTTGCTAAACTGAACAAATCACTTTTTTCATGAATCAACAAGATACCTTTTTTCAATGACCCAAATCCTTTAGAACAAGGGAAAAAAATTAGTTTCTTTCTTCCTTTGAAACTAGTAGTAAATTAGTGGGTGAATTGAGGCCACACATTTTTAAAACATCACTGATTTTCACCATTTTATAGGTGTAGAGTTCTTCTTAGAGCTATTTAAAACATCTTAAATAAATTATAGTTCATTTTGTTGCTCGAAGGATTTTAGGTTCAATATTGTACCAAGTAGCCCATAGTCTAAGCCCCTAATGCAAAATCTTATACATTGTAGACACTAAAAAACAGTTTCTCAAATAAATAAATTTAAAAATTGAATATTGTATATTTTGTTGAATTACAAATAACGCTTTTAAATGCCTAACACAGGACTGGCATACAGTAGGCATCCAATACATGCTAGGTAAAATTGACATGCATATTGAACAATAATATGGTTTGGCTGTGTCCCCACTCAAATCTCATCTTGAACTGTAGTTCCCATAATAACCATGTGTCATGGAAGGACCCAATGGGAGGTAATTTAATCATGGTGGTGGTTACCTCTATGCTGTTCTTGTTATAGTGAGTGCATTCTCATGAGATCTGATGGTTTTATAATGGACTTTCCCCACCGTGCTTCACTCTGCACTTCTCCTTCCTGCCACCATGTATTTGCTTCCCTTTATGCCATGATTGTAAGTTTCCTGAAGCCTCTCCAGCCATGCTGAACTGTGGGTCAATTAAACCTCTTTCCTTTATAAATTACCCAGTCTCAGATACGTCTTTATTAGCAGCATGAGAATGGACTAATACAAACAACTAGATATAATAGATGTAAATAAATGACTTTATTCATAAATGCATTGAATCAAAAACTTTTTATTAAGAACCTATTCTTTCCCAAATATGGTTCTAGTACTAGAGAAAATAGAGGTGCAGTCCCTGATGCAGCAGATTTTACATGCTGTGGAACAATAGATATTAACCCAATAATTACTCTTAAGATTGAGTGATGGGAAAGTACTTTGAAAGTTGGGGGTTTGGAAAAAGAATAGTGTGTCTGACATGATTCTGAACAGTTAGAAAAGGCCAAATTATGTAGATCCTTGCAATAAAGCTACTTAATGATTTTGAGTGGTGATGCTAGAGGTGTAGTAGGGTGGTACACATGTGAAGCATAATTAAATTTTATTTAAATTGGTAATCTGATTACAGAATTGAGAAGTCAAATGAATGGAAGAGACCTACATGATTAAAACAAAACAGTGACCTCTCCGAGTTGAGTTGAAGACAGGGGAGTGCTGGAGCCCACACATGTACTTGGACGACCAGACTGTGTGCATCTCTTCCTGATGCTGCATTCAGTGACATCACATTGGTAGTTTGAAATCAACCGTAATGGAGGTATTTATGGAAATTGGCAAATGTTACAAATGAAAACTTTTCTTCCCTGGAAAACCAGTTGTTAAACATTCACCAGCACATCACTGATTGAAGAGGAAGGAAGATGATTGGGTCAGGGGAAGTGAAGGTGGCTAAGGATGGTAGGGTAATTTGATTTGCTCAGTAAATGACCCATGCCTTTCAAACTTAATAGTTCCAGCCATCTATGAATCTTCCATGGTTCAGTAACTTTATAATGACAGCAAAAATAGTAATACATCCTTGTTGCAAGTGCCTACTGTGTGCCAGCAATGTACTTGGTGTTCTTCCTAGGCACCTTATGCAATTTTAGCAACTTTATTAGTTGAGAATTATCATGCAAATCTTACATGGGACAATTCTGAGATCAAGACATTTCAATGACTGCTCAAAATCAATAATTATTGAGGAAGAGGATTTGAAGTCAAGGCTTTCTTCTTCAAAAGTCCAAGTTTTTCTTACATTCCGCCTCTCTCTTTTTGTCCCTGCCTTCACTCCTACATGCACAAAAGTGCTTTTTTTTTTTCCTCCACCACTTTAGATTCCATAGCTCAAAATATCATTGCCACCAGGAACCAAGATATCAAAATTAGAATAAATAAAATCACAAAAGGAGTTTGAAAATATCAGATAACATGGTACTATGGTTGGAATGTCTGTGTCCCCTTCAACATTAATATGTTGAAACCTAAGGCCCATTGTGACAGTATTCAGAGGTGGGGCCTTTGGGGAAGTGATTGAGTCATGAGAGTTTTGCCCCCATGAATGTGATTAGGTGCTATTATAAAGAGGCTTAAAGCCCTTTCTGCCCTTCTGCCTTCCATCATGTGAGGACACAGTGCTTGTTTCTTCCAGAGGACATAGCAACAAGGCACCATGCTGAATAAAGAGACCAGGCCCTCATCAGAAACCAATCCTACTGGTGCCTTGATCTTAGATTCCCAGCCTCTAGAACTGTGAGGAAATTTATTTTTGTTATTTATAAATTACCCAGTCTCTGGTGTTTGTTACAGCAGCACAAACAGACCAAGTAAGACACACAGTAAAAATAGTGCTGAGACCCCTGAAAGAAATAAATAAAGTAGAGCAGGATAGGAAAGTAAGAACTTACTAGAGGGGCTAAACTTTTATCTAGATGTTGAAGAAAGCAACAAAGTAAAAAAAAGTTCTACCCCTGCACTTTTGTCATGTAGGGCAACGAATTCTCTTCACTTCATCAGAATTAAAAATGTTTGCTCATCTAAGGCCACCACTAAGAAAAAGAAAAGCAAGCCACAGACTGGAAGAAAATATTTACAGAGACTCGTATTCAGAACATACATTAAGAACTCCTGTACCTCAAATAGTAGAAAGACACATACTCTATTGAAAACTGGGCAAAATACTTGAATAGGTATTTCATAAAGGAAGATGTATGAATCATTAATAAGCACCTGACAAAGGTCTTATCATCATCAATCATTAGGGAAATACAAATTAAAAGTGCAATAAGATACAGCTATACACAATAGAATAGAAAAATTAAAAAGATGAACAACACAGCATTAACTTCCTATAGCCGCCATTAAAAAGTACCAGAAATTGTACTTTTTTGTGTAAATTCATTGCTAGCCTTCTTTGGACTTATATTTGATTCTATTTTAGGTTTACATGAGGTTTTAATTTTTTTGATTCCTTCGAATTATTTAAATCAGTTTTATTTTCGGAACACTTTTGATTAGCTTTCTTGGTTTCTTTCTTTTTCTGCTCAACTAGATTTTTAAAATCTATTTCTTTTTTAGTCTGGGTTTTTTTTTTCTTCTTTATTTTCTTTTGTTTCAGCACTTAGCTATCTTCATTAGAGAGACTGGAATAAGAATCTGAAAGGTCATAAAAACTCTTCAAATCCTCTGTAGTGCTATGGTTAATGGGGCGCCCTCTTTTATCCACAGCATAGTTCAGCTTGAACTTCTTGTCATGAAACATAGCTCGAAATCTCTTGTAAATTTTGGCTTTTCGATCCTCTTCTGGCATTTCCCAAAATCTCACGTCCTTTGCAAACCATCTAAACTGCTGGTCACTCATTATTTCTTGTCTGAATGACATTTTTAATTTTTAATCTTGCTGAACAAATGCTTGAAGAAACCAAGTACATCTGGAGTTAAACAGCAGACATTTATTGTCTCACAGTTCTGGAGTCTAGAAGTCTGAGATCAAGGTGTCAGCAAGGTCAGTTCCTTCTGAGACTGTGAGGGAGTTTGTGCCGGCTTCTGGGGGTTTGCTGGCAATCTTTGGTACTCCTTGGCTTGTGAATACATCACCCTAATCTCTGGCTTCATGTTCATGTCATTTTCCCTATGTGTTTATCTGTCTCTATGCCCAAATTTTCCCTTTTTATAAGGACAAAGTCATATTGGATTAGGCCCACTCTAGTGACCTCATCTTATCTAATTACATCTGCAATGGAACTGTTTCCTAATAAGGTCACATTTTGAGCTATTGGAGGTCAGAACGTCAACATATTGTTGGAGACTGACACAATTCAACCCATAAAAACACTAAATGTTGGTGAGTATATGACACAAGCAGAATTTTTTTATGTTGTTTGGTGGGAATATAAAATGGTACAGCCAGGCATAGTGTCTCCTGCGGGAGGCCAAGGCAGGTGGATCACCTTAGGTCAGGAGTTCAAGACCAGCCTGGTCAACATGGCGAAACCCTGTCTCTACTAAAAATCCAAAACTTAGCTGGGAATGTTGGCATGAACCTGTAGTCTCAGCTACTTGGGAGGCTGAGGTAGGAGAATAACTTGAACCCAGGAAGTGGAGATTGCAATGAGCCAAGATTCTGCCAGTGCACTCCAGCCTGGGTGACAGAGGGAGACTCCATCTTAATATAATATAATTAATATAATATAATATAACCTCTTTGGAAAATATTTTGACAATTCCTTACAAAATTGAATATTCACCTACCTTACGACCCAGCAACTCCACTCATAGCTATTTGCCCAGTGGTTTGCTGGATAAATACAAGCTTGTATGAACTGATTGTAATGTTTTTTGAATTTTATTTTTATTCAAGGGAAAAAATTTATTCCTACACAAAGCCTTATAGAATAGCATCCATAGTAATGCCATTCATAATATCTCCCAAACAGAAACAACCCAATTAGCCAAATATCCAATTATTCAACAAGTAAATGAGTTCTCAAGTTGTATACCCATATAATGAAATACTATTCAACAATAAAAAGGAACATTTACTATAAAATAAATTATATAAATTTTAAAATAAATTATATTAAAAACAAAAGAAATAAATACTCAAAACATCACTCTCTAAATATTTTACCACGTTTTACTACTATCTATGCTCTCAAGGCTATATATGCCTATTTTATTTCTATTGTGAAAATGTTGTATAATGGTGTGCTAGTGTACATTTCTTCCCAACTCTGCTTTGAGATAAATCAGGTTGATGACTAGAAATTGGTTATAGTGTGAGTATTTACACAAGAGGAATTGGCAAAATTTACACATTAGGCCTGGATATATTGTCTGGTTGATTGCCTAAACTTGAGAAAGTGAAGAATGTTGATAATGCAGAATAAACTTAAAAGTGTGTTATATTTAAAATAGAAAACATAAAACGTTTAGGAAAAATCAGAGATGAAAATCTTTGGGACCTAAGACAGGGTGAAGATTTCTTGCACCTGACACCAAAAGCACCATAAATAAAAGGAAAATTTGATAAATTGGATCCCATCAAACTTAAAAGCTTCTGCTGTAAAAGTCCCTGCTAGCCAGGCACGGTGGCTCATGCCACTTTGGGAGGCTGAGGCAGGTGGATCATGATTTCAGGAGTTTGAGACCAGCCTGGCCAAGGTGGTGAAACCTTGTCTCTACTAAAAATACAAAAATCAGCTAGGCACTGTGGCGGTCACCTGTAATCCCAGCTGCTTGGGAGGCTGAGGCAAGAGAATCGCTTGAACCCAGGAGATGGAGGTTGCAGTGAGCTAAGGTTGTGCCACTGCTCTGGGTGACAGAGCAAGATTCCATCTATAAATAAAATAAATAAATAAATAAATAAATAAATAAATAAATAGTCCCTGCTAAGAAGACAAAAAGACAAATTACAGACTGGGGGAAAAAATTGCAAACCACATATTTGACAGAAGCACGTATCTAGAATAGTGTCTAGAATTCTCCAAAGTCAACAGTAAAAAAGCTAAACAATCCAATTTGAAAGCAGGCAAAATACATGAATAGACATCTCACCAAAGAGAATATACAGATGGTAATTAAGCACATGAAAAGACGCTCAATATCATTAGTCATTAGGGAAATACAAACCAAAACCATAAGAAAGTATCAGTACAAACCCATCAGCATGGCCAAGAAAAAAATGATAATACCAAATATTGGTAAGGATGAGGAGAAACTAGATCATTCACATGTTCTCATGGGAATGTAAAATGGTACAGCCATTTTAGAAAATAGTTTGGCAGTTTCTTTTAAAACAAACAAATATATGTACTATTCTAACCAGCAATTACACTCTTAGTGTTTATTAAGAGATATGAAAACTATGTTCACACAAAAACCTGTGCAGGAATGTTTATAGCAGCTTTATTCATGATAGCCCCAAACTCAAAACAACCCAAATGTCTTTCAATGGGTGAATGGTTAAACCAACTGTGGTACCCCGGGTATTGTGGAATACTATTCAGTAATCAACAGGTATGAACTATTAGAAACATGCAACAACTTGGGTAGGCCTTACAAGAATTAGGTTGATTTAAAAAAGCCAGTTTTGAAAGGTTATATCACAACCGGGATGTAATGAAATTATAGAATGGATCACACATTCCTGGTTGCCAGGAGTTACTATCTGGGGGCCAAGAAGGGGACAGGTATGACTATGAAGGAATAACATGGGCATATTTGTGGTGATGGAACAGTTTTGCATCTTGGTGGCGGAAGTTTCATGAAGCTACACATGATAAAATTACACACACGAGTGTCTATAACTGATGAAATCTGAATAAGCTCTGTGAATTGTAACAATGTCAATTTCCTGGTTTTTATATTCTCCTGTGGCTATGTAAGGTGTTAACAGTGGAGGTGGAGAAGTGAAGGGTGTATAGGACCTCTGCATATAATTTTTTACTTTTGTGAATCTCTAATCATTTTGAAATAAACTTTTATTTTTAAAAGCATGTATACTCCATAGCTGTCACATTGTGAATAACAGAAAAAGTGATCAAATCATAGA